TACGTACCAATGCTGTAATCGTCTGCCAAGGCTAGTGATTATTGCATAATTGACTAGAGCAAAAATACAAGTATACACTAGTATATATTCATACTAGTTATATACGAGTATATCATAGTTTCCACAAATAAATGCGGAAACTCTACTATGCAAAACGATTGTTAAAAAAAAAAATTTCGTATCGTACGCGTGACTGTACAAGTTATTTTTATTCAATAACTTTAAAAAATAATAAGCGCRGTATTACGTATCGCGAAACGATGTACAATGCACACACCTAGCGCACACACAAGTGCAATGTACACCGTGCAATCACTAGCACAATGACAGCCGCCAATAGAGGGGGAAAAACTTAAAACAAAACCCACACCAACCGTTTCTCACCCATACGTGTAACACCTGGGCACACGCATAGATAAGAACGCAGAAAGTATGGGGGGAGAAACGAGAGATTAGTGTATTAGAAGCTGAAAATCCTGACCTAAAAAACATCATTAACATACATAAATACATTAAAAATTTGTAGTAAAAAATCATCTACACGGGCTAAGACTCTACAAGTCATTTAGATTTGACTTTTTAATTATGCAAGAATAGTTAAATTTAATTTTTTAATATTTAGGAATTTTAAAAGAGACAACTAAATATATATAGAAAACCTCGGACGACTCCTTTGATTAAGTTGGCTGTTCTAATGAAAGAACTGGGCTTTGGGCCACCACTTAATTGCTAGAATCTATCCGTTCGYGAATGTGGTTTGTCTTCTTGCTCATTTATTTATAATATCGAAGTATCGATATATCGAAACTAATCGTGATTAGATAAACTAAGTACGAAGCAATGCATGTAAGACATTTATTACAAGCTTTATTGGACGAAATCGAGTAAATTAATATAATACTCGGTTTCACCACTACTAACCACGAACAAAACACGTAATAAAAAAAAAGTGCATTAATTAATTGCACTATTAATTAAATGAATTTAACACCGATGAGACAAGAAAACCTATCCTGAACTAATATAAAATATAAAATACAATATACACAATACAATATATAATTTTCATGAATAATTCCTAGAAAGGAATTACTCATGTGCTCGTCACTAATTTATTGGAATAATTACAACCAGTAACTCGTGCCGATTAGGACCTTTCATCCTCGACATGATTGGGCACCGGAGGGACTTTA